TTGTTGGTGGTGCATCTCCATCTCTTGTTGGTAACGCGTCTCTTGCGGACAAGAAGGCATCACCTGCGGGCGAGGTATTTCCTGTGGACGAGGAGGCATCGCTTGCGGGCGAGGAGGTGGCATCGCTTGCGGGTGAGGAGGTGGCATCGCTTGCGGGTGAGGAGGTGGCATCATTTGCGGGTGAGGCATCACCTGTGGACGCGGTGGCATCACTTGCGGGTGAGGCATGGCCTCTGAGCGAGGCATGCTCCGTGGTTGACGCTTCCTTTTTGGGCGAGGTATCTCCCGCGGACGAGGAGGTATTACTTGCGGGTAATGCATATCTTGCTGAGCATCCAGCAACGGCAATTGCTGATCAAATGGTCGACTTTCAATGTTGAGTTGTGTAGAATCAGGCTCAGTGAATCCCTCAGGCAATTCTTTCGTTGCATTAGCAATATTGCTTGGCCCTTGCAGATCTAGGCAAGAAGCTGATCTTGGTCGGCCAACGGTCGTTCTCGGCCGAGAGTTTGATAGAGAGACAGCTCGTAGTGGTCTTTTCTGATGAGAAAATATATCACGCCGCTGCATGGAACACGACTCTGGGTCGTTGGGTTGAGGCGTAATTTGATCAAGAATGGCCGATTCTTTGGCTTTCTGACCACTATCAGCCTTGACCAATATTGCTTGATCCACTTCAGTTAAGGGATGGAGAGGCGGCGCATCAAGAACAGTCTCTGGCTTCTGATCATGAAGGGGAGTCGGCTCTTGCACCTTTCCAATGTCATTCAGCGGCTCCTGGACACGACTGTTGATATCACAATCACGGCCAGTCTCGATCTCTCGAGTCTGACTAGCATCGCAGACAGCATCTTCGTGTGCGTTGTCCGGCCCGGGTTTGATACTAGGCGTAGTCTCGGTTAGAGCCTGTTTGTCGTGTACATGCAGAGGACCCAGTTGTTGGACCTCTGTAATAATACTGGTCTCGGCCTTTGAGAGCGGCGACGGGCTGAAAGACGTGTCTAAGAGCTCCCCGGTCGAGGACGACAATGATGTGATGTGGGTCACCCTGGCCGAAGATTCGGTATCATCTGCCTGCATCTCCCCTTTCTCTTGGACTTTTTCTGGCTTCTTCAGCAGAAACTTTTGCCCTTGACTTGGAGGGACTTTCCGCTGACTCTTGTCAAGCGGAGTACCGTGAGAAGTAACCGCACTGTAAGTAGGTTTGATGCCTTTTGTAACGTGATCTTTGTCATTTTGGTCACCACCAGTAACCCTACGAGTCTCGTCCTTGACACCACTGCTGCTGGTATCCGCAGCGCCAGGTTCAGATTTGGCCTGGCCAGGCAAAGCCTCGACATGGTGACCTACATTTGGTCAGTCTCGTGATTATAGCCCTGAAATGAGAAACTTACGGGTACCATTGAGTAGGGGAGTACCAGCAATGGCGGCCTGGTTTTTCTGAGAATAGCGAGAGCCCTGGCCACTAAGAGCCCGGCCCTGACGGGCTGACTTGATAGTGAAGCTGCCCGCTTTATCTCGTGTGCTGGTCGGATTCTTTCCGAAGTTGTCCTCTGGCAGATTCCTTTGAGCTTGGGGCTTCTCCTTGTGCTTAGCTTGCTTTTCCCTCTTCAATTTTGTTTTGTTCTTTACTAGCTGGTAACCTTCCAGGTCGTCTGCAAGAGTTGCCTGGTCATTGACCAGACCGCGTTGATCATGAGCCCCGGGCGATGCAATTTGTCTCGGAGGGGTTTTGCCGTCAGCACCTGAGATTGGCGTTTCGGAAACCACCGAGGTAACGTCCTTGGGTATGGCAGAGCTTCCTGCAGAAGAACGATTTTTGGTGTGGTCATTGGCCGGATCATCCGCATTATCAAAAGCCTGATGTCCAGAAACCAACTCTTCAGCTTCCTGGTTCGGACAGCTCGATACTCCAGAATCATCGACTTCGATGGGAATTTTTGAAGCAGTAGCATCCTTGATATCCTCGGAACTTTTTGAACTATCTGTAATTTGTGGCTCTGCGGGACTGTTCTTGGCATGCGCACTCTTGCCGCCCGTAGCATCTGCGGGTTGTTGAAGAGATAGGACATGAGAGTTCTTCATGGTCATTTCCTCGCCGAAGGCCACAGCGCATGAATTCGTGGAGGGGAGATGTCCATCGCCATCGCTTTTTTCGGCAGTACTGTCTTCTTTCGTGCCCACATTGCAGCCCAAAGCGGTCTTGGCTTCAGCGACGGCCTGTTGTGAAATCCGAGAGTTGCCAACAATTGTCTTAGTGCCCCCTAAGGTAGAGGACGGTTCATCACTTGTCTGGGCTTGGTTATCTTCACTGGGCTCAAGAATAGTCTTTTGCTTGTTCTTCTTTCTTGACCTATTCTTTCTCTTGGAGTTTGTGGGCGCAACTGGTGCTGGCGCAGATGGTGCTGGCGCAGACGATGCCGGCGCAGACGATGCCGGCGCAGACGATGCCGGCGCAGATGGTGCCGGTTCAGGTGGTGCCTGTTTAGGTGGTGCCGGCTTCAATGACGCTTGTTGAATTTGACTGTAATGGCCAACAGTGGGAGGACTTGGAGGTTCCTCAACATATTTTGGCAGATTCGGAAGATCAGGGGTATCATTGGCAGCGTTCATCAGCTTGGCTGGATCTCCTTCGACATCGTACGTCTCACCTATTGCAGGAGTTTTCGGGTTAGTATCAACATGATGACTGGTGCAGATGTAAGAGGACGCGGTAACTTACTGAATTTTTTGCACGTGCTGGCAACATCAATGGGGTGGCTGAGACGAGGACGCGAGCTCAGTGACGTGGGACCACTTTGCATTGATGGTACATAGGCGCTCAAGGGCGGTCGTTCCAGCATGTACCTCGACAGCGCCGGGTCATTCTCCATTCCAGACAAGGTGCCATTTCTCCAGCCGCCGTGGAGTTCGATCAACGATGCTGCAGCGTCGATCTCATCCATTGTACGCATACCAACGGAACAGGTCGTCTGGACGTCAGCCCAGGCGTTGACGGGCTCTGTGGCCAGGTGGTTTTTATCAGGAGCAATCATGATGCAAGGATGGGAGCAATATGTCGCAAAACCTCGCGTGAATGTGACAATTTCTAGCTCGTTGGAAGATGTGTGTAATGAGTCGCGGGGTGTTGGGGGGCAAGAGCTTGTTGATCCTGATGAAATAGGAATCTGTCCTTTGGAGTTGATGTTGTTGGTAATGAGAGAGAACAAGATTCTGCCAAGGGATGCAACCCGAAGATGACAAGAACCAACTCAATGGATAACTAATTATTGATTGATATTTGAGAAAAAAAATAAAGAATAAAAGCGATTGGCGGCTTGATAATAGCGAGTGAGGCTTCTTAACGATGAACCAAATGAGGTCGAAAGAAAAGGGAGCGTCTGGGTGCTGGTAGTGAAATGAGGATAGGTGCTTGTTGTTTCTGGTGTTGCGGGATGAGGAGGCCCAAGGCGTCTAGTTAGTGCGAGGGATGATTTTGTTGATGGGCAGGCACATGCCACGTGGATGGGGCGCTCTTGACTGAATATAAGCCTGGCGTCAAGAGAGAAGCAAGCAGAGGGATTGGGGTTGGTCCCGGCTGCTTAAAGTTGGCTCAGTGGGCAAGAGGTATCCAGACACAAAAGTGAGGGTATGTGTGCAGGTAGGGGAGGTATCTGGGCAAGTCGGAACTGCAATAGATGGCAGTCGAGGGTTCAACAAATTTGTCGAGTAGACTGCGCCCACCTGAACTGTCCAGGACTATTCAGGCTCTTGTCTTTTGGCACAAATCTTTTGTATGTCTGATGTTTTGCACCAAACCTGCGATGAGATCAGGTCGCTTCCAGTTGTTGGCTTGGATAGTGTACACATGAAGAAGTCTTGTTGTTATATGAGAGTCGGCGAGAAAATATGATCAATTCCCGGGATGAGATGGATTTAAATACTTCTAAAGTAACGAAATAAGAGAAAGATTTGCAAGCTTTAGGTTCGGGGCTTTTCTCCTCAGGGCTGATCCCCCGAAAAAGTTTGTGTAAAGGCTGCCACCAAGGGACTCAATGAAGTTTGATGTGACTTCAAATGCGAATCGACTTCGTTGGCTGGTCACATGGTATATTTGAACGAAAGAAGGAGAAGCCTGGCAATTACCTAGCCAAGCAAGGTTTCTACTCCAGCGCTGAGCCAAGGCGGCCGATTTTCCAAAGGTGAGGAGGTGTCACTGTTCTTGAGCCAGGTATCAATTCTTGCTGATTTTCCTTGGATAAGGTGTAATGAAATGCCCGTTTGATGGCAAACAGGAAGCACATCAAACATCCCGTCGGCGTATTAATCATCGACAGACTTGTGGCGGACACAAAAGTCTAGTGACTTTCAGAGCGGGGGAAAAAAAAAAATGATTGCCAAGTCAGTATGGACAAGGAACTCTCATGTGCCTGGTCTCTTTACGTCGCCAACATAATGTGTTTAAAATCCCCAAAGGAGCTCTCCATTCAGCGGTTTCCATTATCAACTGGCCGGCGCAACAACGGTGAGCATTCTCCGCCAGAACAAAACCTGGGTAATGTATGTACCTAGCAGCCTGAGAATCAATGTACCTTGATGGCAGAAGCAGAACAGGTGCGAATTCTGTATTGGCAACATATGGCAGCCTAGCTGACATTGATAGCGTTTCTTTCGTCTCTCTTGTCCCTTTATGGCGCCGAAAGGCTACCTGTCGCTTATCCGGCGAAAAGTAAAAGTCTGGACGTGATGAACTCAGAATGTTGAAAATGAAACAAATCTTGTTCAGAACATAAAAGTACACGCACACACACACACACACTCTCTCTCTCTCTCTATCCAAAGTGTGTCAGGTATCTTCATGATGAGAAAACAGATACAAAGTCTTGTGGTCAAGTGTTAGCACCATCCGCGCTGCATCGGTTTTGTAGATGCGGATGCCAAACATTGCTCCTATTCTCTACTCTGTCAACATCGCACCTATGAAAATCTCGAGGTATTGTTATGAGAGCTAGGGATAGTAATATTTACTCCATGAAGAGCAAAGGAATCATATCGTCATGAGTTCATTGGCAAAGAGAAAAACACAACGGGAACAACTGCAACGAGCAAAAGCGACGGGCCAAGGTCAGAAGGCGGACGAAATCGAAACTCTAAAAGGTTTTCTCAGTAGCACCATTGCTCATACAATCATCACAATATCCTACTGGTAAACCTTTCTTCTTCGTCGGTGTTGGCTCATAGTGCAAAAAGACTGCGAGGTAGGCTCCGACATGGCCTCAGCCGAGCAACGCCTTGCAGGATCGCAGGATTGTGTACCCAGAGGCTGGGTAAATGTGACATCTTGATGAAGTAGGTTTGGAAAGAACATGATGAAAAATTTAGGGCATTTTGGTCGAACTCACTCGTCTCCCGATTCCGGGCCGCCATTGATTACGGACCTGGTGTTATTCCGAGCTGATAATTTGCCACGAAAAGCATGAACTCTGAAATGAACCTCTTCCGAGTCGCGCGACCATTTCCAATCATCGGAAAGTCCCGAGGACCTTTCAATCATGTTTGAATTTCAGCTGTACAGTAATCTACTTCAAGTTTGAACATTACACATTGCTGAAGTTTACAAGGCTAGGAATATAGACGGCGCTGTATTGTCCGTAGCAATCGAGACCAGCACGAGCTCTGGGAATTTAATTTTACGAAGAAATCATCACTTTCAAGAATACTACCACTTTTCCTTGTCCCCTACTTTCCCCTTTGTCCATTTATCAACCAAAATCATGGCAAGACTTGGGCCAGTGATGTTTGCAATGCAAGCTCTAGGGCGTCGGGCATGATTCACAGTCTTTGATTGATTCAAGCTGTCAAAAAATATCACTTGGGTCTGTATACAGCCACTCAGCATAACCAGACAACATTTCTCATCACATCATGTTGATCTTGGCAACCTAATAATAACCGTTTTTTGCGCCGTAAAAGTGGCCACCTCCAAGGCGAGCTTATGAACTGTAACCATTCTCAATGGGGCGCCAGATGACAAGAATGAAACCGCCCCATCGCCACAAGCAAATCAAAACACAATCAATTCATGAGAAAGTTGTCTCATGAGATGTCGTCGAATATAAGCTGCAGATTGTGGGGACCCGTCATAGCCGATTGGCCCACGCTCAATCTGGGCCTTCACTCAATTCCCGTGATTACGGAAGCATTTTCTCTCCAACGCGCATAAGCATAACAACAGCCTTAATCGTGTCTTTATTATCGATGCAACATGTTTTGGATCCACAATGAGAAGAGATCAAGACATTGAGAGATGGTATCATTTCAGAGCCAGGTATCAAGCGCGATTATCTAAACAGTACACAAACTTGCTTCCCAACACCAATACTTTGCACCATAATAGTCAATGGCGCACAGTACTGATCTTCTCACTCTGTATTTTCATCAATCGCATGCCAACTTGGGCCATAGCACGGGCTTGCACCAAAAGAAAAAACCCAACTAAATTCGCCATCATGGACAACGATGGATAGTGCCCCTTTCGGAGTCTTAGCCTAGCCTTGGGGGATGTATCCGACAGCGGAAGACGAGAGGGCTAAAAGCGAGGAGAAAAAAGAAAAGAAAAGAAAAGATACTAATGTACATACCAGTGCACACCCTGACGATCTTTCGGGATTTTTGAGTACTAGTCTCCGCCTTAGTCAAACACCAGCCTGACGACGACGACGACGACGACGACGACGCCGGGCCTTTTATGGACGAGTTTGGCCAGACTTCTCTAGTATACAAGCCGGTATATTTACTGTACTGTGTATACTAAGTATTCGGACCGGAAGTCCTTGGTGGTCTTTGACGATCCTCGTCACCAGTTATCTCAACCTACAAAGGATCGTCCTCAACTGCATATCTACACATACACTTACTACATGTGGGATCAAGCCAAGGCCTCCAATCTGGATACAAGGTGCATGATAGACCGCATCTCTCTCTCCCTCTCTCTCTGGAGAAACCTTGCGAGCAAGTAAAACACGACTGCCGAGTTTTCTTGGGTCCGCTTCCCTCCCCATGTTATGGCCCGTGTTATGGGACGATCAAGGACTTTAGTTCTCCGGCCCGTAATACGCTCTTTCGGAGGATAGATAGGCAAAAGGGAAAAGAATTTCCAATAGTAGTGTGAACTCGTGCGACAAGAGAGCCTAGACTTTTGATCCCCGGCCGGTAGTGCACCCAACACCCTGGCTTACCTACTTGGAAAGTGGGATTTGCTCTTTCAAAATGGTGAAAAACTATTGCTGATATGATGGTGGATGGGCTGATTTTATTTGCGGATACCTTGTCAGGTACCCACACTGTAGGTACCGAGCCCAACGGCCGTATATACCCAGTAAAGGTAGCCAGCCAGCCAGCCAGCGCAAAGGGAAAAGAATCAAATAAAATACAGATGGCGCTGATTTATTTGTTGACTGGGGACGGATCCCAGTTCGCGTTACGCGAACCCAAAAGCCGTCGTACCATGTACTATGGTAGTTTTCTGAATTTAAAGAAAAAGAATAAAAAAAAAATTGGGTAGAACCGCAAAACACTGTGTGTAGATTGGCTAGACTCGGCCGTCTTTCCCCCTTCGTTGTGGGTCATTTTTGGGAACCAGCCCAGATCGAATCCAAGTGCTCAACAAAACGTTGAGGGAGACAAATGCACTGAACATTTACATTACCTACTTCTTGGTCATATATGCGTAGTCATGTTATAGTGACTTTTTGAAAGGTAGCATGCAATATTATTGTATTATACGGACATTTAACATCTTCAAGATTGTATTTGTCACGTATTTTTGATGTTTTCATAGTGTCCTTTCCCATTATTCGTCCCTGCTCGACATGAAATTGTCGCGAAAATGGCCTAGACTGTAGTAGTAGTCTTGACACCCGTGGTCTTCGTGAACGCCCACCGCCATTTCTGGCAGAAAATTCCCGCAGGCTACGAGAGGCCTCGCAATAGTCTGTCGTTTCGATGTGATTAATAGCTAATGGAGAGTATGATGCCCCCCTAAAAAAAGAGGGGGGAAGATCAAAGCTGAAGAAAAGAAAAAGATAAGAGCACCAAACACTGAACGAGAGATGATATTGATCGGCAAGAGTCGCATAAGCGTCGAATTCGCGGTCCGAGGGCGCGCAGTGTATTATTTGGTAGCTGAACGAGAGCAGACAATGAACTCGTCAAACTTCTATGATAAACGGCAATAACTCCGGCGTTTTCTGACGTATAGTGGTTCGGATCGTCATTTTGCGTGGAGGGAGGCGAGTAGGTAGGTAGGGAGTAAGGAGAATGGTATCGTCGTGAAACATGAAATCATGGGAGTCGCTTGCTTGAGCAGAAGGCCCTTCTGGAGAACAGATAGCTGCTGATGGCCGCATATAAATATCGAAGCATGGTGTGCCCCGTGATGGTCTAATAACCTCTTCTTCTTTCTTCAAGTCTGCCGCCTGCGTATGGGTATTGTGTACAATGATAAACATAAGTGCACCGCATGTCCCCTCCATTACAACGCTGAAAAAATGAATAAACAACCACAAATGAAAAGGAAAGAATGCTGGTATAATGTAAAATTTATGCTTCGGTATGTGTCGTTGGTATGATTCAAAAATTACGTTTCGAAATGTTCTTTTCTTCTTTGCGTTCTTTTTTTGCTGGCCAAGATATCGTCCATGATGCGGTTTCTTCAGATTATATTGGCGATACTAATACGCTCCGTATTTCGCTTGGCAGCACCCGGTACTGGACTATTCCCTGCACTTTCTGGGCCGGTGGTGCTTGGCCGCGGAACGGATGGGCTTGCCTCCATTTTGATGGGTGGAAGCGTTGGTGGGAGTGCTGGAGGAAGCGACTGATGAGGCGCTGGAGACGTGTATGTAGGCGCAGCAGGCCAGGGTCCCGTGGGCGCTCCGCGGAGAAGACCGTCCAGTCGATCCCAACCTCCCCAGTCTTGAAGCTCTTCTTGGACAAGGCCAGTTCTATTCTCGACCCGAGTTAGGCCTCCGCCTGCCGGGGCCGAGGTAATGGCCGCGTCTCGCTCCGCCCCGGCCCAGATCCAGCTTGTCTCGCTGCCAGCTTGTAGATCGGCGCTGACGTAAGTGAGCAATTCCTCATCGGCGAGGAGGCGGTCCTGGATTGCTTGGCTGGACGGGGGTTGGTGCTGGTAACCTTGGACCGGAATTGATCGTGGGTAATAAGCCGCAAACTCTGAACGCTTGCTCGACACAATGGAAACAAAGAAGGATATGAATCTACCGCAAGGGATTGCAACATCTCGTCGGGCATCGATCGACTTCAGAGCACGTACGCAGGTCGCTGCGTACTCATTGTGGCCCGTCAAAATGAGGAACAAGGCGGATCGGAACACATGTTGCGTTAACAATGTGTTTGCTGTGTCGGCGAGGCTCGCGTTGGTCCTTCCAATGAGCAGAGCCGTCTCAATTGATGTATGAGTACACTGCTCTATGGCCACAGTTCGGACCCCGGGTGGACATGCTGGAGACAGGTTGTTTCGGTGAAGGAGGAGCCTGGTATTGAGCAAGTAGGCAAGTGGCATGAGCATGTGAGGAGGTATTGGCAGGTTGCTCGAAGGGTCGCAAGCAGCAGGGAAAGCTCTCTGGCACGCGATAAAGTGTGCGTCAAAGGTCGACAACCTCGTAGGCGCAATGGGAGTAGTCGCAGAGGCTTGAGTTATCGCAGGGATGGAACGAACGACGTTGATGATGACGTGAAGAGAGTGTGTCAGTGGCTCCACATTCACCGGATGTACTGGACCCTCGGGAGATAGAAAGTGATCGTCGATGGGTTCGGGCAGGGCAACGTCGCAGTCCGAATCGTGTATCAGCGCTGGCCGTCCAAGTTCCAAGGCCGTCATCCGGTCGACGATGTAAATAGCCCACCAAACCCTCCTCCTCATGTCGGCATCCAGCCGGGACCTCGTTCCCGTCTCGAGATGGAGACCAAGGTCCTGGGCTGCTCTCACGACACCACCCAACCATGTCCATGCCGCTGATTTGAGGTTCAACTCTTGCAATGAAATAAATGTTAGAAGCGAAGCCCTGACGCTGTCGAGATCAAAATCATTGTTCCATGGGTCCGTCATAGTCCTTGAAACTTCCAAAAATTCTGCCGCTCGGTAAGTACGATCCGGGTGGGGATCAGTACTGAACAGGCTACCAACAGCAAGAACGGCGAAGAACAGGGACAGCCAGGACTTGGGAGCTCGCTGTATTCCACCAGGTTGATACAATTCTTCCACATCGTGCTGCAGCGTAGGCCAGTGTAGCAGCGGCATCATTACATGGAGCGCGCCATAGTACGAATGCAGCAAGGCAGTTGTGGCTGGCTTCGGAGGCAGCTGTGGTAGTGGTGGATCAAAAAGGATCGACGACGGAGGTTGTCGATAGGGCATTGGCGGCTTGAACAGGCCTTTGGAGAAGTTCCGGAAGTTGGCCCGCTCTCTTGCTGGATCATGGTTTGGCGCTGCCCGCTTCCGTTGCTTGGGGTTCGAGTTGATCTCCGGGATGGGAACGGGAAGGTGGTCTGCGCCCTCCATATCGATATCCATCTGACCGTCGCGCTCGCTCAGCATTCTTCTGAGACTGCTATTCTCCCTCCGGACGCGCTCAATCTGTTTCTCCAGGTCTTGTACCTGCTTGATGGAAGACATCCGCCGATTGGTTTCCTTGGTAAATTGACATTTCACATTGCGACTGGAACATTCGGAACAGCTCGTCGTCTCTGTGGCATCGCATTTGACCTTTCTCTCCCGGCAAGCATCACATGAAGGGTCCTTTCTCCTCTGCCTGTATGCGCGCTTCTGTGCTTGAACATTGGCTGATAATTGAGCGTTGGACAGCCCTGGTGTGCCTGCTACAGAGTCATTCGAAGGTAGCGAGTCCCGACCCATTATTGAGTTTCCCGTCATTGGTGTATATGGTTGAAAAACAGATTGTGTAGCGGATGGCAGAGGAGGAATTCCAATAGGCTGAGGGGCGTGAACAATGTTCGCCCTCGTGCTGCTTGTGCCCATCAAGCTGCCGAGATACTGAGTTGAAGGCTTGGGCGAAGTTGCCGAAGACACCGAGGATGAGTCGTATGACCTTGTGGATGGATTGGGAGATCGAGGAAAAGGATTGTGCGACGAAGTCGCCATCGCGGAGAATTTGTCACTCCAACAATCCTCGGCCTGATTGGGTGAACTCTCCACCGAATCCCCAATGGAATGGATACTAGGGAGTTGCCGGCTCAAAAACATACAGACCAGTATTATTGCAAGTGTCCTTTTGGCGTGTGTGGTCCAAGTACCGAAGGACAGACAATTCGGGTCGCGTCCTCCACTATGGGAATGACTGGAAAGACTGCCAAGGTAGCAATAGGCCGGTAGGCGAGCTGTACCTGGTGCTCGTACGGATGCTTCCGCAAGCTGGAAAGGTTTGCCAGACAAGAACGACCTATTTAGTGTGCGACCTTGCGAGTATTTGGCCGAACAATGCGCTGTGTTACTTGTATGCCTCTGCGACCTATATAAGAGACCCAGAGTATGTGCCGCCAAGAGCCAGGGAGACACAAATCAGAGACCGTATGTGGAAAGTTTGCCTTGGGGATACGGAGCAATCGTGATTAAGCATATGTCGTTTGCGGCTCTGTCCCTAGTACGTGTTTATGCTCGGTCTGTAGTTGGGTATTAAGAAAATGGAGGGAATTGCCTAAACAGGAAGCCAGACTGGCGAGAAGAGAAGCCGACCCAGACGGAAGAATAGGAATCGGAACAATGGCACCGGGGGGGAAAGGTTTTCAACACAGACACACTTTGTTGAAGAAGAAGAAGACGTAGTAACAGCAGTGTGCGTGTGTGCGTGTGCGTGTGGGAACGATGCTGAGCCGCCGTAGAATCGTCGTCGTCGTTGTCGTCGTCGTCGTGATCCAAGCGAGAGGACAGGGTGACTAACAAGTAAGGATGACTACTACCACTACGTATGCCGGCAGAGTTCCTGGTGACAACAGAGGTGGAAAGGAAGTCTGGATTCCGGCCTGATCAGAGGAGGAAGTAGGTAAACTACAATCTAGTCGAATCGCGGATGGCCATAATGGTTTATCCAACTAGACAGCTTCCCTGGTCGACTACCGGGGCTCTCCGTGCGCCAAAGCAGAAATCGGACATATAATCTGGAGGGGTGAAATCCTCCCAAGGGGACCCCCTTGCACCCCTGTAAATGACAAGCAGTGTGAGAGGGAAAAAAATAAATAAAAAAAACCGAGCAGGGCTGTGAGTGATGTTCATGGACCAAATTCGCTAACGTGTTTCGAGATGGAGGTGGGTCGTCCTGTGGTCACTGTACCATAGTACTCGGACGAGTCGCTACCTAGGGGAGCCCTTGACCCCTGCCGGCGCAAACCAAAGGGCAGTTGTAGTGAAAAGACAGGCAGGCCGGCTCGTTCATGGCGAATCGGCTACGACTCAAACAAAATAAGGCCCTCGTGCCGCAGCTAGACTGACGTCTTGTCTATTGCTACTGCTGCCCATGTTGCCATACTTCTACTACTACTGACTGTAACCTTGGTAGTAGTAGGTAAGAGTAATGTAGTATGTCGGGTCCGCTGCCTACCCGGGACTTTCGATAGTCTGTGCCAACATCTGGCTTTCTTTCCCATGGCCAGGTGGACTGACTTCTTTCTTTAGCAGTTGTGGCTGGCTGGGTTGTACAGATAGTAGTCAGCAATCATGAATGCGCGCGTATGTACCTGCCTCTCTCTGACGAAGTAGGAATCTGCTGTCTGTTTTTTTTTTTCCTCCCCTTCCCTCCCCTCCCTTCCCAAACCGTGCCTGCTGCTATGGAGGGTAATTTTTTTTTTCTGAGTAAGATTCATGGTAGGTGCATCCAGCACCACAAATTGTCATGGATCCAGCTGCAGTTTGTGTGGACTTTCCGGCAGTGAAGAGTAGGTACCTAACGACCTAGTTACGATATACCATGTAATGTACACGCACACACAACACGCAGCGCACCCACGCAACACATTGTAACGCAAGGCTCATATGCGCGCAAGGAAGCAAGCAAGTACGTAGACAAGCATACTACACAGCCAGCAAGCAAGCAAGCAGGCAAGCAGAGAGCCCCAAGGAGAAGGATACCTACCTAGGTAGAAGCGCGAGCAAGCGAGGGCAGACGAACTCAAGAGAGTCAATGGAACGGACGCCGGTATCTTACCTACATGAGCAGCCTCCCTCCCTCCACGCGTTACGGCAACATCAAAGCCGTCGTCGCTAGCATGGGTGGTATGGTCGTGGATGGGGCCAAGGAGACCTTTGAGGATGGGGGGGAACATTCCGCAGTTGCAAGGTCCAAAGTCCAGCGTGGGTAAGTAGTTCGGTACGTTTGTATTTAGAACGTATTTCGTCCCGTCAACCTAGCCAATTTAGTACTTGGTAATCCTGGAGAAATACATGGGCCTGGGCACTTTTTGCTGGCTGGCTCGGCCCAGTTAGGGTACAGTCAGTGGAGGAGGTCCAATCGGGACTTTGGAAGAGAGAGACAGAGAGAACGAGAGAACAGACACTGGGAAGACAAGAAACCCAACATGAAGAAAAAGAGAGGGGAAGGGGGGCCCCAACAGCCGGCGCACACTTTGGGATAGACTGACGGGTCTGACTTAGCACACTACGCTACTAGGTACAGGAGTTAGGAACTGGACGTAGGTCAAAAAAAGTAATGGTATGCAACGTCTGCAACTCAAAAAGACTCAAGGCTGCACCACTTTTTCTTCTATGCATACTAGTTGTAGCGCCCAATGGCTGAGACGGACGGTACCAGCTTTCTGGTCGACCAGCAGGCCGGCTCCTCACTTTTTTCCAGCGTTAGGTTAGTTATTCGGTTATGCTAGTCGAGCCTGCATTAGGAGGGTATGATGTACATTCTAGACCCGGAGATTCAGTGAGACTTGGAACATGGCGCGCGAATTTCATGCTCTATCCTGCTCTGTTCTTATCCTCCGCAGCCTGCGTTTTTTTTTTTTGGGCGGTCACCGAGAGGAGAGCAAAGTAAAAGTGTTGAACAACAAGACGTCTGACATAAGTAGGTCAATAAGGTTAGGGCAGGTAGATACTAGCCCATTAGTACCACCATCCACTGGGCAGGTCGATCTACATACACTCTGTAGAGTGGTTCAGTAGCCAGGTCTATTATAATCGTTGATGGAATTGTGTCTACTCAACATCATCCGGGATCAGATGAACAACCGAAGGGAGAAATGTAAGATAAAATTGCTGTAAAGCTGAAGCGAGCGCATGGAAGGTTATGGGCGCGATCATGCTATGGCACTTAGCCAACCAGATAGGTACCTAGAGGCAAATAGGTAGAAAGGTACAACAAGCCCTTACTGGATTATATGGGTAAGTTCAGTCGTTGCAGCCGTTTTCCCTGATAGTACAAACAAGCATGGGCATATAGAATTCAGACAGACACAGTCATTGGCACGATCTCCCTTCCTCTGCCTTTATCATCCCCTCTCTCATCAGATCAATCTAAGTATGCATGTTTTCATGCATCAATCAATCAATATGAGTGCACATGGAAATATTGTACCTGCACATAGGCACCCAAGGCACCGCCCGAGGAGCCAGGGTGTCTCATTGGGCGCAGGCCGCGAGGGAAGGTCGTGCAAAATCGGACATTTTTTTTTTTCTGGTTGTTGGCGTGGGTTCCCAAGAATGTCGGCAAGGTTCAAAACGGCAGGCATTGCTCAGACCACAGGGCCATTGGGGTGCTGCATTGGGCACACGCGTGTCCAGATCGGTTCAAGAAGGACATGCATCATGAAAAAGGAAAGGGCCAATGGACCCCTGGAACGGGTACGGGACGCAAAAATGGAGATGCAGAGAGGCAGAGACGAGGAAGGAGAGAAGCATCGGATGGCAATGAGATGATAGATTTCATCTCAAAACAACAAGAGCGAGAATCAGTCTCATCAGATGCCAAAAGTAGTAGTCATGAGAATATTTATAGATCCATATGATTTGCTATATACTGAAACGAAGGCCAATCATGACAACTGGCATGGCTAGGTCCCTATTTAGAGTTGTTTCCAGAGATACCTGCCGCTCACTGCCCCAGAGATAACAATGTCGGTCGCGTGGCGTCACAACTCAACATTAGAACCGGCTGGTGCATTTGCCTGGGCGGACGAACAGGTGAACTCAAGCCAAAACAGTGTCACTCACGCTGCGTTCCCCGTTGGTTTTGTGACTTTGGATCGCAAGAGTACAAAGCCTACCCTGCACAAAAGGCCTGTACCTAATGTACCTACAGTGAGCGAGTGTCCCGAAAACTAAAACAACTCGGATCCGGGGCACGGGAAGGAGCTGTCCCGGTGCCTGGCCTCTGTCTTAGGTCAGCATGCTCGCGAGCTCTTTTCGTCGCAGGAATTCTTTTTTTATCTTGTTTCCAAACTCGATGCTGGCCCCCCTTCCTGTCAGTCTCGGCGTGGATTGTCGGGCAAGATGACTAGAGCATTGTACAGTACCAATCACCAATCATTCCGCGCAGCAACAAGAAAACGGGTCTTGAGGAGACACCCTCATTCGTGGTTTGGCTAAACATGTGGCACATCGTGCAAAGCGGCATTTTTTCTTAACCAGTTCAGAAAAAAAAAAAAAAAAACCGACCCCACCATTATTGACTCGGGGTCCCGTCCCCCTCATTCGCAAGGAGTTCCGAACAACAACTAGACGAGGTTACTCTCACGCACACGTCAAATGACAATTCACGCGACAGCCAGGAACCCAGTCGGTCCATTAGACAGACAGGTCCGGCGCCTCGCTACTATGCACAGCAGATCAGACTCTACACTACCTAATTTCTACACAGTAGTAGCTCTTTCCTAGCATACACTGCATACCTCCAAACAGATGCTGCATTGCACTGGCTGTTACTGCCACGTCTCCGGCAAGCCTGTTCCGGCGCTCAATATCGAGTGATCCGCCAGAACTGTGAATTTGGAAGCCGCAGACGGTCCCTCATTTTGGGGGGGTCCCAGTGCCCTTAGCTTCCTGGCTCGTTTTTTTTTTTTTTGCCTCATGGTACCCAGCTGCTGCTGTCGTTTGGTGTACCAGAGATCTATGAATCCTGACATCTATTTTCGCGCAATCTACTATAT